TGTCCGCTGGCTGGACATCTTATCATAAAAAGCTCGATAACTTCGAAACGGCTTAATCAAAATGGAAAAAATTATGTTTTGTAAAGGTCTGAAGAAGGGCTACAAGAAGATGCAATAAAAAATAGAGAGTCCCATTCAAAAAATTCAAGGTGACTTTGTCCTGACCTTGGCGACGCTACCCAAGGTTAAACTCATGACAGTAAATAGATTTTTTGAAACCCTACAATTTTTATTCGAAACATTTTTTCTAAAATGTTTAGTTTTTATGATATTTCACCGTCCCGATACTTTTTACATATCTGTGTATACTATATACAGGGTGTTTCAGACTACCCAGGTCATCCGACTTTTTCGTAAACGCGACATTTTAGAAAAAAATTTTTCAGACAAAAGTTGTAGGGTCTCAAAGGACCTATTTACTCACACTATGAATTTGACCTTGGGATGACCTTGAAAAGTCCAGTGAAAATCAACATAAAAATTTTAAATAGAAATCCCAATTTTTTATTACCAGGTCTGTAAATATGAAACCGGAATTTGCCCATAAATGGCCCTAGCTGTCAATGTAGTTACCGTCAAACCGCGTCATTGGCGCCATTTCCATTTGTTGACATCTGACAAAGATTTTCAACTCACAACAATACAAGTTTCATACAACAGCATAGTTTGTAATAGCGTTGAATATGTCGAATTTTGTGCCTGGAAGCTACGATTTGCGGACAGCATTGATTTTCTGTTACCATTTGAAGAAAACTGCTGCAGAATCGCATCGAATGCTTGTCGAAGCTTACGGTGAGCATGCTCTTGGTAAATCACAGTGCTTGGAATGGTTTAAAAAATTCAAACATGGCGATTTTAATGTGAGAAACGAAGAATGTGGAAGACCACCGAAAAAGTTTGAAGACAGCGAATTGCAATCATTGTTGGATGAAAATGACGCTCAAACGCAACAACAGCTCGCGGATCAATTAAATGTGACACGAGAAGCCGTCTCCGTACGTTTGTAGGCCATGGGAAAGATCCAAAAGATGGGAAAATGGGTTCCACATGAACAGAATGAAAGACAGCAGGAAAACCGAAAAACCACTTTGAAATGCTGCTCGCCAGGTACAAAAGAAAGTCATTTCTCCATCAAATTGTGACTGGCGATGAAAAGTGGATATATTTTGAGAATCCTAAGCGTAAAAGATCATGGATAACTCCAGGCGAATCATCGACATCAACTGCAAGGCCAAATCGCTATGGATGGAAGACAATGCTCTGTGTTTGGTGGGATCGGAAGAGTGTGATCTATTATGAGCTACTAAAACCTGGCAAAACCGTTAACTGAACACTACCGACAACAAATGTTTGATTTCAATCAAGCTTTGCGTGAAAAACGACCAGAATATCAAAAAAGGCAACACAAAGTGATTTTGCTTCATGATAATACACCATCACACACAGCAAAACTAGTCAAGGAAACGATTGAGGCGTTTAGTTGGGAAATACTTTCGCATGCGGCTTACTCACCAGACTTGGCTCCATCCGATTACTACTTATTTGCATCGATGGGATACGCACGCGCTTCACTTCTTACAAAAATGTACGAAAATGGCTCGATGACTGATTTGCCTCAAAAGAGCAACAGTTTTTTTGGCGTGGCATCCACAAATTGTCAGACAGGTGGGAAAAATGTACACCTAGCGATGGGCAATACTTCGAATAAAATATTTTTTATCATTTTCATACAATAAACGTGTATTTTCTATACAAAAATTCCGGTTTCATATTTACATACTTGGTAAAAGTCCCATACCGTTTCACGAGATTCGCAATAATTATCAAGTTATTAATAACAGAAATTTGAGGGGTGGGAGTGCGCCGGCATAGATGATTGGAGAAGCATTGCAGCTGCTTAAGCCGCAGTGCGGCCCAGTCGATCCAGCAACTGTTGCCGGTGCACGGCGAGGGGAAAGACAATGCGCCCCTATTCGTTGTTTTATCTCGCCGGACCTACGTCTCGCCGCACACCGCCAACAGTTGCTGGGTCGAGTGGGCCGCGCTGTGGCCTGAGTAGCTGCAACGCTTCTCCAATTATCTATGTCGGCGCACTCCCATTCCTCAGATTTCTGTCATTAATAACTCGATAATTATTGCGAATCTCGCAAAACGGTATGGGACTTTTATGTTTGTCTTAATCCAATCTACCTTCACACTTTGGGTTGTAAACTTATAACCCCCCACCCTGTATATACATGTACACGAAATTTAGATTAAAAAAATATATTTCGTAGTTTTATTTTTTACGTAACAAAAATTGTGATATAAGAAATTATTTACTTTTACGTATCGTTAAAAACAATACTGACATATGTACTGATAAATTTATTTATCTGCTATTTCTCTAATAAGATAAAGCCTATTTAATCTGAAAAATAAAAACGATGTAATTTGAATAAAAGAAAACATATTTAAAGTGAGATTCTTTTACCCGCAGTTCCCTAACGTGGTAATGTGAACAGAACACGTGGTAGCGGCTTGAATAACCTAACTTAACCTAACTTAACCTCAGTCAGTTAACTTTTCTTTAATATGAATTGTTGCTCATTGTGGCTTTCTTCTGTGAAAAGGTACGTACTGTTGTAATAAATATATTAAGAAACATGTGATGTCTTTGGCAATGAGTATGCGTATTTATAAAAGACACTTATTATCATTCAATTTGTTTGTTAGCTTTATTACCTATATTATAAATGGAACGTAATGATGCAAGTTTCCGGCGTTTTTGTAATTAATGATAGAGAATGATATGTAAACGCTTATATCTGTTGTAGTCGTACACATGAAGTATGGCAAAGAAATCGTATATGTAACTGCATTGACATTCATAGCCTTTCACAACTTATAGTTTTCTCTGTTTTACCTTATGTCTACCACAAACATCTCATACTCTGTCATTAATCTGCTTGTGCTCAAAAGGGAATGTAGAGAAATGTCGTAAGTTACTCCTCATTTCTTTCTATTTTCTTATATTATTGTTACGTCCTGTGGACTCTGCGTATTCTAGATTCTTTTATAAATAGATTATGTTGCTCGCTTCAAATGTTCAAATGTTATATTCAACTAACATGTTCCGTGACCCTTCGAGCTTGATGGCGTCACATACCGATTTCTTTTTTTTATCTCCCCTTAGACCAAAGTCCTCTAGCTGTTTGTCGGGAAGATTCACTGAGTCACTTCCCGGACTGACCAGTCAATATCTGATTTTGTTAATTCTCCAGAACTCACAGCTTTTCCACGTCCCGTCATAAAATATATTACCCAACAATCCTTACGGATTGCGGAAACGGGAGCGTCCCAGATGCGCACAGAATAAAACGGACACAGCAGGTTGAATGAAACAGACACAGTGACAAACGGACAAAGTAAGAAAAGGACACAGTAAGAAACGGACACAGTGACAACCGGATACAATAACAAACGGACACAGTAGGAAACGGACACATGATGGTTGCAATCGGACACAGTGACAATCGGACACAGTAGGAACGGACACAGTGAGAATCGGACACAGTAAAAAATGGACACAGTATCAAACGGACACAGTAGGAAACGGACACACTGTGGTTGCAATCGGACACAGTAAGAAACGGACACAGTGACATTCGGACACAGTAAAAAACGGACACAGTAGGAAACGGACACACGGTGGTTGCAATCGGACACAGTGAGAAACGGACATAGTAAGAAACGGACACAGTGACATTCGGACACAGTAACAAACGGACACAGTAGGAAACGGACACACGGTGGTTGCAATCGGACACAGTGAGAAACGGACACAGTAAGAAACGGACACAGTGACAATCGGACACAGTAACAAACGGACACAGTAGGAAACGGACACACGGTGGTTGCAATCGGACACAGTGAGAAACGGACACAGTGAAAAACGGACACAATAAGAAACGGACACAGTGACAATCGGACACAGTAACAAACGGACACAGTAAAAAACGGACACAGTGAGAATCGGACACAGAAAAATGGACACAACATGAAACGGACACAGCAGGAAACAGACACATTGTGGTTGCAATCGGACACAGTGAGAAACGGACACAGTGAGAAACGGACACAGTGAGAAACGGACACAGTAAGAAACGGACACAGTGAGAATCGGACACAGAAAAATGGACACAACATGAAACGGACACAGCAGGAAACGGACACACTGTGGTTACAATCGGAGATAGTAAGAAACGGACACAGGAAGAAACGGACACAATGACAATCGGACACAGTACAAACGGACACAATAGAAAACGAACACAGTAGGAAACGGACACAAACGGAAACAAAAGTTGTTAAAATTAATTGGTATAAAAAGAAGATATAATAAAAAATTGGACTTTCTATTTTAAAAAATTAAGTTGACCTTCAACTGACCTTGAAAATGCCCTCCAAATAAAAAGCTGATAATGCCATTCTCTTTCCCCTTCGAAATCATGGAAAACGTGTTTTAGTTTTTTCAATATCTTTCATAGTTTTCAAAATTTTTTGTCTGTTACGTTTGAAATTTAGCATCCTATATAAGATGAATATTAGGCCCCGTCAAAAAAAAATTATTCTCTAACATTAATTGAACACACAAGCACACACACATGTATATATATATATATATAACGTTATATTAAAATATTTTTCAAGGTTACCCATTGAACAATTTTTGCGAATATTTATCGGAATATCTAAAAACATTCTACATCAAGAACACGTACATATGCAAGGTTAGTATTAACAATAATTTTTATATTTCACTAACAATTATTTTTTAAAAAGATAACTATCTTTATCATGCTCTAGAGAAGGAAAATATATTAGACATATCTTTGCAAAATGAAAATGACAAAAATTATGAAGAGGAATTATTTGTCGGACTACTTGAAACTGTTTTTTATGAACAACATATAAATATGCAAAGTTAGTATTAACTATATTATGTATGTCTGACTTACATTCTTATTAACTTGCCTTATCACGCTTCAGGAAACGAAAATATTCCCAATATATCTTTGATAGACAATACTGGAAAAAATTGTGAAGAAAAAATACAAGTTACTACAGATCCCAAAGATATCCCAATAAATCTATTAGAACCTAGGATTACTCTAATAAAGCTCACACGTCAAGACTGCGAAAAATATATTAAGAATAGTCAGCAACCATTAGCGTTTATTGAAAACACTATTCCATCAAAAGTAAGTATACATTGAAACGTTACTCATTATCGACAGATATAATATTTACACATTGAAACATTTACATAATGTTCCAGATTACACGAAAACGGAAAGCACCTTGCAGTCAACCTTGCAGTCGTTGCAGATAAAAATAACCATATATATTTTAAGATATATGTTATATTTTAGTATGCGTGCTTCCTACTGTTCCTTTGTTGGCTTGTTATGTAATTGTTATGCAATTATGTAACACACATTGTTTCGGAAATGTTTATAATACATATTATAAAAGAAAATAACTTTGAATATTAGCATATAAGTAATTTTTATATAATTCACCTTAAAGTATTGTGAGAAATTAGCAGTAAGTACTTTCAACCTAATCTTGCATACAGCCTTAGTCTACAACATATTTCAGTACGTAATGCTTAACATATATAATACTGTTATATTGGCAACAAATCGACTGTCTTAGAATATATGTGCGATAAACGTCATAAAAAATATGTATTAAAAAAGATGCTGACAATTCTAAATATTTTTATACACTTCAAATAAAAGTAAGACATGTTTATGGCATATATACGAAGGCAGTTTGATAAGTCAGTGACTTTTTGAATTTTCCGCGCAGTAACTTTAAATGCAGCACTGCTCCCGTCAACTGCCATCTATTAATAGACTACTGTACAAGTTTGGGCAAGCTGCGCCATTTAGTTAGTGTTTGACAGCCATTGAAAGCAGACAACCTCGTGAATTTTAACGGAAATGGAAAAAAGTGAATTTCGTGTGCTAATTAAGCATTATTTTTTGCGTAAAAAAACCATCACCGAAACCAAGGCAAAGCTTGATAAATACTATGGGGACTCTGCACCATCAATTTCAATGGTTAAGAAGTGGTTTACTGAGTTCCGTTGTGGTCGTACCAGCACAAGTGACGCCGAACGTTCAGGTCGCCCAAAAGAGGTCGTCACGCCAGAAATCGTCGATAAAATCCATGGAATGATATTGGACGATCGAAGAATGAAAGTGCGTGAAGTGGCTGAGGTTGTAGGCATCTCAACTGAGCGGGTACATCACATTTTACATGAATATTTGGACATGAAAAAGCTATCCGCGCGATGGGTGCCGCGATTGCTCACACTCGACCATAAGCGCAACCGTGTGACCATTTCAAAGGAGTATTTGGCGATGTTCAGCCGCAATCCGAACGAGTTTTTGCGCCGTTTCGTTACCGTAGACGAAACATGGATCCATCACACCAGAGACCAAGGAACAATCAAGACAGTGGGTTTCTTCGGGTGAACGTGCACCAAAGAAGGCCAAGGTGGGTCTGTCGGCCAACAAGGTCATGGCCACAGTTTTTTGGGATGCACGCGGTATCATTCACATCGATTACCTTGAAAAGGATAAAACGATCACCGGCGAATATTATTCAGAGCTTTTGGACAGATTCGATATTGATTTGAAGCAAAAACGACCGCATTTGGCGAAGAAAAAAGTGCTGTTCCATCAGGACAATGCACGGGTGCACACGTATGTAGTCACCATGACAAAAATCCATAAATTGGGCTACGAACTGCTACCCCATGCAGCATATTCACCAGATTTAGCCCCCTGCAACTATTTCCTGTTTCCAAACCTGAAGAAATGGCTGGGCGGTAAGAGATTTGGGTCGAATGAAGAGGTCATCACTGAAACAAACGCCTATTTTGAGGGCCTTGAGAAAACCTATTATTTGGAAGGAATAAAAAAATTGGAAAAACGATGGACTAAATGTATCGAGCTAAAAGGAGACTACGTTGAGAAATAAAACGCTTATTTGCCGAAAAAAATATCTTTTATTAAAAAAGTTACTGACTTATCAAACTACCCTCGTATTTTGTACACCGGTGAAATTTGTGCTTTGCAAGTTGAACAAGTTTTAACATTATCACTATCTCGCATGATTTAACTAGAACAATCTGCACAAGTGCAGAAGTGACTGCACAGTATGAAAAGATGAGTCGATTCAGCAATAATACACATAAATAATGCACGTACGATCAGATTTTACTTTTTCTTCACTTTTTTCGCACCCCGTTTCCTATTGTGTCCGTTTCCTACTGTGTCCGTTTTCTATTGTGTCCGTTTGTTACTGTGTCCGATTGTCATTATGTCCGTTTCTTCCTGTGTCCGTTTCTTACTGTCTCCGATTGCAACCACAGTGTGTCCGTTTCCTGCTGTGTCCGTTTCATGTTGTGTCCATTTTTCTGTGTCCGATTCTCACTGTGTCCATTTCTTACTGTGTCCGATTGCAACCACCGTGTGTCCGTTTCCTACTATGTCCGTTTGTTACTGTGTCCGATTGTCACTGTGTCCGTTTCTTACTGTGTCCGTTTCTCACTGTGTCCGTTTCCTGCTGTGTCCGTTTCATGTTGTGTCCATTTTTCTGTGTCCGATTCTCACTGTGTCCGTTTCTTACTGTGTCCGTTTGTTACTGTGTCCGATTGTCACTGTGTCCGTTTCTTACTGTGTCCGTTTCTCACTGTGTCCGATTGCAACCACAGTGTGTCCGTTTCCTACTGTGTCCGTTTGATACTATGTCCATTTTTTACTGTGTCCGATTCTCACTGTGTCCGTTTCTTACTGTGTCCGTTTCTCACGGTGTCCGATTGCAACCACCGTGTGTCCGTTTCCTACTGTGTCCGATTGTCACTGTGTCCGATTGCAACCACCATGTGTCTGTTTCCTACTCTGTCCGTTTGTTACTGTGTCCGGTTGTCACTATGTCTGTTTCTTACTGTGTCCTTTTCTTACTGTGTCTGTTTGTCACTGTGTCTGTTTCATTCAACCTGCTGTGTCCGTTTTATTCTGTGCACATCTGGGACTCACTCACTAAAACTAGCGAGATGCTGAAATCTCTTATCACCATGATACCCCATCCTTTACAATAGTTATTTTAGAGATACTGCGACGCAACTCTAAAATCCCACCTCCGAAAATGTTATTAACACAGTTCTATGCCCACATCTGTACATAAACCTTCGAACTCTGACGCAACCTCCAAATCCCTACTCTCTCAACCGAGGTGACATTTGGATTAAACGAAAAGGTGAATTCATTCTTCGCCTGACCAGCACCCAGATCAGAAACACAAGTTCGGCATTCAGATTGCGAGTACTTTCTGATATTCAAGCATTGAGATATTCAGTCATCCAGATATTCAGTCATTCAGTCATTCAGACATTCAGACTGTGACAAGTTAATATCCAGTCACTCGGATTTTGACAAATTTTCATCATTTTCAATAATTATCACGAATTGCTGTGTGTAACGTACTAGTGTGGGCATTGGACCGATCCCGAGAGATCCTGAGAGGTACACCCACGTAAAGTGGCAGCCCTGTTCTCTTTTCCTGTACAAGCCATCTTGAACCAACAGTAAGTTTTATTTATTCTCTACCTTTATACCATCATTTTATTAATTTCCGTTATTATTGAATCCATTTTTAGTGGGTCACTACTATCATACCACTGTGACTACCCAAAGAGTTATCGACTCGTTCGAATCAATTTTTGAAACCAGAAATCCCGCTGCAATAGAATCTAACGCTCAATACCTCCAAGCGCTTATCAATATTTCTTTAGAAACTAACTATAACCCAGATCCGTCACTCCTCTTTATACCACCCTACATTCTCCCTCAACGGTCATCCCCTGCTCCTTCCTTTTCTTCTGCACGCGCGTCCATCCCCTCGACCCTTTCAATTTCTTATTCTCCTATCCCTTTCTCGGAACTGTCCACTCCCCTTAACTCGCCAGACCGCTGTCGTTCCCCCTTACCCGACTAACTTTCTATTCGTATTCCTTCCTTTTTTTGTTCCCTTTTTTTTTTTACTTTACACCCACACACATACACACACACACATACGCAAATAATCATTCGCGTAACTGTAAATCGTCACATTCTAAATCACGCCGTTGTATCATTTCGTTTGTTATCCTTATTTTAATAAAATTTGTTATTAATCTATTTTCACTAATTAATTTCAAAATTACCCCACCTTCCAACAGTCGACTCGTGGTTCTATCCCCGGTTAAGGGATTTGCATCCCTGACCGAAAAACGGACCGCTCGTCGTACGTCAGCGAACGAGTAAAAGGACCCGAAGGGTGTCGAGTTCCTGACCTGTTCCCTGGCACACGTGTACGAACGAGATTCGCCTTTCCTGCGAACGGAGAAGTTGCGCTCCTCCTCTAGGACGTAACACTATTTTATTACTCATAATTAAAAGATTATTTTAATTATACACTTCCTACAATTTCCGGAATTCTATGTTTTAGATGTCAGTATTAAAGAAAAAAAGGTGTTTCCCTTATGAAAAAAAACCCTCAATTTTGGGTGTAAACACTGAAATTTGGGTGTTTACCATGAAAGTTGAATGTTAACCATCAACATTCGGTGTTAGTTGAGTATTGAGCATTAATGTTGAGTGTCGGTTGGGTTTGACTATCAAATTTTCGGTGTAACTTTGATGTAGATTCTTAATATTGAGTGTCAATTGGGTGTGACCATCAATATTCGTTATTATCTTGGTGTAGACACTCAACATTGGGTGTCGGTTAGGTGTAACCATCAATATTCAGTATATTATTGATGTAGACACAGAATATTGAGTGGTTAAGCATTGGGTATCAGTATTGGGTGTCAGTTAAGTGTGGCCATTAATATTCAGTGTTAGTTTGATGTAGATATTTAATAATGTGTGTCGGTTAAAGCGTTAATGGTGCAATAGTGCGCGTGTGCCAGTGGTTAAGAAACCCATATTTTGAATAAAATATAATGTAGCGTAATTAGTCTTTTATTCTTCATTTTTCAGAATATTTCAAGTTTGCAATGAACGACAATATATACAAATGAAAGTATGTTTTCGTGAAACCCTTGTTTATTCATTGTATTCTCATTTAATAACTTGTAAATGAGGTATTAATTGAATAACTAAATAGGCTAAATATACTTTCATTTGACTGTTACACATTCATTTTGATGGTGTTCCATCAACTGGGTGTAACATTCGAATAAAGATATATATATATATATATATACTCACTATGTAAATAATAAAAACATTAGGTATTAAATACATAACATATGTTTAATGTCGTAGTTTTTGAGTAGAACATTAAACATGTATTTAATACCTAATGTTTACTATTTGCGCAATGGGTGTATATACAGGATGTCCCATAATTGTAAGACACGAACTCCATAGCGGCGTGGAGCTAAGCGAGAGGAACAAAAAAGTCTTCTTCTATTTAACGATATCTCCCATTGTTTTTTAGTAATAATAACTACGTAAAGTTTGACGTTTGTCACGCCCATCCTATAGACGCTCCGCGGCGAGCTATATGCGCCGAAACTGAACGATAATGCGTCTCGCGCTGATCATCGCGATGGCGTTTTGGCGCTTTGACTGCTTACTGACTGTTTATATACATATTTTCTTATTGAGAATGTATGAGAGTAGAATAGTAAGACAGGTTCTAACCCAGGAGTGTTAAGGGGAATGCGAGGAAATAGGGAACTCAAAGCGCGGGATATGACGTCGCGCGGGGAAGGGGAACTCATGGTTAGACGTCACGCAAGATGGCGGCCGTGACGTCACGCATACGTCACGAGAAAAAAAATGTACTGGGATGTAGGTAGACTCGATCCCGGGCCCTCGCGGTTATTATCCAATGCTCCAAAGCTCTTAGACCACCGTCACCTGTTGCTATTAGACGTCTAGTGAAGGTTCTAAAGGTGCCTTTACATGGGAGCGTCGAGCGTCGAGCGTCAAAGCGTCCAACCAATCAGTTTTTCATTTCTTATTTCAGGGATAAAAACAAGAAACTTTGATTGGTTGGACGCTTTGACGCTCGACGCTCGACGCTCCCATGTAAAGGTACCTTTAGAATGTGTATGATGACGTCACGCATACGTTAAAGAAAAGATAAGTCGAAACTAGGTCAGACTCAAACCCCAGGTCCTTCGTTTACTGCGCTATCGAACGTCTCTCGAACGTCTACTAAACGTCTCGAACGTCTCTCGAACGTCTCTCGAACGTTTATCGAACATCTCCCAACGTCTCGAACGTCACTCGAACGTCTATTGAACGTCTCACGAACGTCTAATAAGCATCATACGGCAAATAAAGAACTGTATTTTTATCAACATAATTAACATATAAAATCCTAAGAAAGGGGATAAGGGAAAGTTGGAAGAAAGGATGTGGCCTAAAGTAAAAAAGATATATCATAATATATGACAAAGTAATTTATTTCTCAGAATACCAAACAGCTCACAGCTTTGCGCATATCTTTCGAAGCACATGCCAGCAGCTCGCAATCAATAAATAACTCACCGTCAAAGCCAGCGCTTTCACGTATCGCTTTTACCGCATAGCATATTTCGGTAATTTTTTTCTCGAAGAACTTTTACAAAAGTTTGAATTTTTTATCTAACGAGATACGACTGTTCAGACAACTGCGTATATATATGATCAATGCAATATTCATAAGTAAATAACTTGTTCATTGTAGCAGGACTCAAATACAAACACTTAGAAGATTGCATTAATTTTACAATTTTTGAACCATTTAGCTCGAACAATTTCATTCCTAAATTTCGAATCCGTAGCAAAAAGTACGATGGGTTGCGCGCTTCCAGAAGTCGTTGTACAGCGCCACGATTTTCCATCAGTTTTCCCGAAGTGTCTGGATGTAATATTAGTTCATTACCGCGATTGTCACCGAGGATTATTTCCATGGGTAGTCGAGATTGTACATTGAGTCCAATTTCCAAATACTTATGAGACGTTGCAGTCAAAGCATATCTGCGCCCCAGGATGCGAATAGCATGACATGACTCAGGAATTCTATAAAAATATAATGTAAATGTTATATACATTTAAAAATTCGGTCGGGAAAGTGCACACAAAGTACCAACCAAATTCACAAAGTACCAACCAAATTCACATTGATACTCACTTCTTACGTTCCATTTTGCATGGTGGCTCCTCGAAACACTCGTCGTTTTGTTTCCACCTGGAGTGACCCTCATCCTCATCCTCATGTTGAACAGGCATGTAATAATTTGCTTATGTAGCGTTCACTTCGACGTCAGACATTTTGTTTCACTCTATGTGGAAGCTACTGTCGAACCTTGTCTTTACAGAGCGACTGACGAAACAATATGCAGGAGCTCCTTTTAACACAGGCAAGTTTGCCAATGCTGTATCCCCTCCATCGTTTTCTTCAGAATTCTCAACATTTCTAATGCACATATCAATATATCTTCCGAAACTACATAAATAATAATTTAGATAATAATTCTCTGGCACAGCGTTGTAGCCAATCAATTAAATAGTCATACGTCGATGAAATAATATTAATCATAGCGTATCGCAGTACGAAAGAAAATAATGTGCAGTACAGAAATGCATAATATTTATATCTTTTTATTACAATTTTTAAACGCTGCAATATAATGGTGCTGCATATTACAATATCACATTTTGACCAAAATATTTTTGTCAATCGTCGACGCCAGACTGCTGATATCAAAAATCGTAGGTCTACAAGCTTATTGTAGTATTAGATAAATAAAGAATGATGTGCACATTATATCATATCATAGGGTATATCCTGTGAAGAACTTAGTGCTGCTGCGTATTACAATATCACATTTTAACCAAAACATTTTTGTTAGTCGTTGACACCAGACTGCTGATACCAAATCGTAGGTCTACAAGCCTATTATTGTATCAGATAAAGAAAGGCATGCACTTAGGCATACAAAGTCCATAACGAGTCGATATGAGTTTAAGATTCAGAAATGTGTTTAAAAGTTAGTCGAGGAAGTTTCCCGAATTTTGATAACGGCATGTATTTTTGGAAGAATGAAGGGCTATAAAAAGTTCAAAGCAGAACATTCTATAGTTTAGTTGAAGACGAACAGAGTGCACAGTTACAGTGTGTTTACAACGTTTGCTAGAAGAAATGGCAGAATCATCATCATCATCATCATCCGTAGAACGCGAGCTGCAGAATCAGGCCGCTCGATTAGGCTCGCTAGGCGAATACTTCGCATGGGAACAAAAGTGCGATGAGTGTCTCGAGTCGTTGGAACAGCATAGCCGAGCCAAACAGCCACGACTATCGGTTGGTTCAGCGCACTCGATGGTTGCTCGTATAGCGCAACTCGAGGGTTTCAAAAATACTTTGCGCAGACGTTTCGTATACGCAGGAGCCGGACATTCAGAACTTTTTTAGCGAGAAATCGATACAGCGTTCAATAATCGAGTATCAACCGGGGCGATTGTAAATACAGATTATATCGAACCTTTTCGATTTCTCCAAGATGCGAAGAATATCGTGCGAAGCGTTATGAAGAGACAAGGTAACGTAAAAGTGAACACTGTGTTCAACGGTGAATTTGTGATGGGTGATAAACGCGCGAACAAGAGCATCAATACGAGGAACGTTGGACTTCTTCCCACATCTGATTTAGACAATTGGTTCGTGACGTGTGTTATCGAACCCACCTTAGCGTCCCTGGAAGAATTCCAGGAACGAGTTAGCGTGGGCACTCTCGCGCATACTCGATCTAACCGTTAATGTTAACAAGTACAATCCATTGCATGCGGGATGTCACATCGAGTTACTGCGCGAAATAAAAATGAAACGGGCTATAATCAACGTGCAATCTATGGACAATGCATGTTTCATATGGGCGGTGGTTGCAGCGTTATGTCCAGCTGACAAACACGCAGATCGTCAATCTTCGTATCTACACTGTACATCGGTGTTGAATATGCAAGACATTGAATTTCCAATGTGCATAAACCAAATTAAAAAGTTTGAACAGCTAAACAATATCTCTATCAACATATACACTATACAAGATAAAAAGAAGCAGAAAAAATCATATACGATCGTTCCGATACGTTTCGTTAATAAGAAGGAAAAGCATGTAAATTTGTTATACAAAGTCATCGAAAAGTATCGGACCCCCCTAATATCTTCAGTTAGAATGCATTTTGGAGAAAATGTCTAATAACGAAGTTGTATGGTTTCAAGCGGGGAGTAAGATGATGACCTCGACTTTGACCTTGACCATGTCCTTCAAGGTCATTTCAAGGTCAACCTTATTTTTTTAAACAGAACCCCCAACATTTTATTACATATTCTTATAGCTTATCTCGAGAGCTTTCCAAAACACTATAATAAAACATTTTTTCATTAAGTACTTTTAGAGTTATAGAGGTTTGAAGTTAACAATTTGTTAAGTGGTGTGTGATTCCGCCAGTTAAGGCAAGAGTGGTGTGTGATTCCGACCAGTTAAGGCAAGAATGATGTGCGATTCCGACCAGTTAAGGCAAGAGTGATGTGTGATTCCGGCCAGTTAAGGCAAGAGTGATGCGTGATTCCGACCAATTAAGGCAAAAGTGGTGTGTGATTCCAACCAGTTAAGGCAAGAATGGTGTGTGATTCCGGCCAGTTAAGGCAAGAGTGGTATGTGATTCCGACCAGTTAAGGCGAATTTCATTCCAATTGGTCAGCTTGGGCAAAGTATTCAATTGTACCAAACAATTCACAACCAATGTTCAAATTATTACCCTTCAACAGCCTGACAATGTGCCAATCTGTTATAAACAGCTGAAACCGCATTCCGGAACGTTTCCGGCGGTATTAGTTCTATCTCTCGAGTTATTCTCCCTCTTAAATCATCTAAATCTTGAGGCTTGGTGGCATAAACTTTACTTTTCAAGTAACTCCACAAAATAAGTCAAGTGAGGTCAAGTCCGGAGACCGAGGTGGCCACTCAATATGACCCCTTCGCCCTATCCACCTGTCCTGAAAGACCTCATTCAAATATTGATGGACAATGACACCATAATGAGGTGGAGCTTCATCCTGTTGGAAATAAATTTCATCCATGTTTCCACCAGCTATGTCTCGAATAGCTGGAACAATTTGTTCGCGAAGCATGACTGTGTATACTTGTGCTGTCAAATTGCCTTCAATGAAGAAAGGGCCAACTGGTCTACCATTAAGAATACCAGCCCATACTTTTTGTGGGTATTGGGTATGATTGTCTCTTTTCCAGTGAGGATTAACGTCACTCCAGTATCTACAATTGTGTCTATTTACATTTCCAGTCAGTTAAAATGTTGCCTCATCAGAGAAAACAATATTATTAAGTAATAGAGGATCGTCGACAATCATCTCCATCATAAGATCACAAAATTCGATGCGTCTATCAAAATCGTCTTCGGACTACTGCTCGCTAAGAAGAAGACAGCACTGCATCAAAGATTCAAATCAGTGATCCGCATTGTTTGCTCAAGAGCTTGTATTACTATTGATGCCTGCAAGAGTGAGACAAGAAAGATCAGCCCCGCCAACGCTTTCGGGCAAATTCCCGCTAACGCCTTCGGACATCACGCATTCGCAGCTTCTCGCGATCACCTTCAGGCAGTTTTCCGCGATAGCTTACTAGCATAACCGCTTGAAGCCGTACAACTTTGCTATTGGACATTTTTCCAAAATGCATTCTTACTGAAAATATTAGGGGGAGCCGATACTTTTCGATTAATATATTTTCTTTAAACCAATTAATTGGTCTCATTATTTCGCGCACAAAAGTATTAAGGTTATGATTACTGAAAACTAAATAATATTTTACAAGATATTTTACATTTTGTGTCAAAAAATTGTTAACTTCAAACCTTTATAACTCAAAAAATACTCAATGAAAAAATGTTTATTATAGTGTTTTGGAAAGCTCTCGAGATAAGCTATAAGAATATGCAATAAAATGTTGGGAGTTCTATTTAAAAAAATAAGGTTGACCTTGAAATGACCTTGAAGGACATGATCAAGGTCAAAGTCTAGGTCATCATCTTACTCCCCGCTTGAAACCATATGACTTTGTTATTGGACATTTTCTGCAGAATGCATTCTAACTGAAGATATTAGGGGGGACCGATACTTCTCGATGAGCTGCTTCTCTGAACTTTTCTTCTTTTTGTTAAATTTTGATGATTGCTTCGCCATTGCAGCTTATGATGACCCGTCTCTCGCTTGTGTCGATACTATACAGTGCTGGACAAAATAAATCATACACCTTTCAACTATTTGAATTTGTTAGTGTAACTATTCTTACAACAAGCAAATATATTATGAGATACAGGAAAATCAAAGCATTTTAAAGTATTTAAATAAAGGAAATGTGAAATAATAAAAATTGTGCTCAATTTGTTTGCAAATAATTTATTACTCAATATTGGTGCGTTGTGCCCTGGACAAAATAAATCATACACTTATAGAAAAAAGTAGTCACGAACAAAGAACATTAATTCTAATGGTGCTTAGTACTTGGTGTTGCCGCCTTTAGTTTTTAATACTGCTTCCAGTCGGCGAGGCATACTCTCGACTAATTTTTTCATATATTCAGGATCAATATCCTCCCAAGCTTTCTGAAGTGCTGCATAGTACGATGTCTTGTCAGTTACGTTCGTTTTATCCACGTTCCTATCTAAATAAGCCCACAGATTTTCAATGGGGTTTAAGTCTGGTGATTGTGGCGGCCATTCGAGCAGTTTTATTTTATTAGATTTAAAAAAGGCAATAGTTTTTTTCGCTTTATGCTTCGGGTCATTATCTTGCTGGAAGATAAAGTTAGTTTCTAAATCTAATTTCAAAAGAGATTCTTCCAAATTCTCGCACAATATATCAATATATCTTTCTGCCGTCATAATACCTTCAATTCGAGCCAAATTACCGATACCAGACCATGCAAAGCATCCCCATACCATGATATTACCGCCTCCATGTTTTACAGTCTTCTGAACATTTATTTCTTTGAGACCCTCACCAGATTTTCGCCATACTCTAGACCGTCGTTTTTGTCCGAATAACTCAAACTTGCTCTCATCAGACCACAATACTGTTTTCCAAAAACTTAGAGGCATATTCGCATACTTCTTGGCAAACTCGAATCGCTTTTTCTTATTTATTTTATTGATGAAAGGACGTTTTGACGCGAACACACTTTTTAGTCCAGTTTCCCTAAGTCTACGACGCACAGTTCTACTGCTAACAGTCAGGTTCATCGATTCCACAATGTTTCGCGATGATAGCTTCGGATTTTGTTTTACCATTCGAACGATTCTGGTGTCATCACGAAAAGTTGTAGCCCGTTTTCGACCTTTTCCGGAATAGTTTGCCACAATCCCATGTGTTTCATATTTTTTCCAGATGTGCTGCACTGCTCCGACAGAAATCAAGTATTTATTAGCAATTTTTCTAAAAGAATTACCATTCTGTCGGTCGCGAATGACTAAATTTCGGATATCAAGAGAAATTTGCTTCTGTGACATTGTTCTTGGTTGT